TTTTTTTTTTCATGTATCTGTCCAATTTTCCCAACACCATTTATTGAAGAGACTGTCTTGACTCCATTGTATGTTCTTGCCTCCTTTGTCAAATACTAATTGAGCATATTTGTTCGGGTCGATTTCTGGGTTCTCTATTCTATTCCATTGATCTATATGTCTGTTCTTGTGCCAGTACTAGGCAGTTTTGAGAACAGTGGCCTTGTAATACAGCTTGATATCAGGTATTGAGATCCCACCTACTTTGTTCTTCTTTCTCAGGATCGCTGCAGCTATTCAGGGTCGAACTCTTTTATTTTCGAGAGCAGAAATGGGCCTAACAAAGAAGCTTCTTTTCCCAGTCTTCTTTGCAACCAGGGATGGTCAGTGAGATATAAATGGCAGCTGTAGGCTGGAGCTTCTAAGAACATTATTTAATGTGGGCTGACTAGCTTTTGTTTCCCTCTCCTGCTTTTTCCTAATTGGATGTTAGACATGATGATTGGAGCTCAGTAGCTATTTTATTAACACAAAGATGAAAGCCACAACCAGGGGCAGCAGAGGGAAGAGCTGGCAGGACCCCCCTGTGCCAGTGTAACAGCCTACTTCTGGAATTCTTATCATTATTTAAGTCATTATTTTTCATGTTCTGTGCTAGAACCAGTCCCAATTTGTAAGTGATAACACTATGAAAAGCTTTAGTCTGATTTGGTGTCTGATAAAAAAGCAGGTTGGAGAGGGTCATTGCATTGTGCTCACCTGGATTTCCCCAGTAGGCTGTAGAGAGGCTTTGGGTCCCCACCAGTTGATTCCTAATGGGCTCTGCAATGGGCAGACTTTGTATATGGTGAGTGACCCCATCGCCGGGGAAGACGTGGCACTGAGTGACAGACAGCTGGGAAACTGACGAGAAGCCCTCCATCTCACCACGTCCATCCAACAACTCCAAAGCAAACATTCTGCGTAGGAGGCCCCAGGGATTAAGGAGGTAGGGACTCACTTAAGCCAGATGTGTCAATAACATATTTCAAAGTGTACATCATGAATGTTACCAAATGCTGAGGTGGAGAATACGGCGAACCCTGAGAGTGCCAGGAGACTGTGTTCTTGTCTCTCATTTCTCCGTGTCCTGCTTTGAACTGGTTTCGTCACCTGTACCATGAGTGAGGTAGACCCAGGACAGTGACAGAGGGAGCCACTCAGTCTGCTATGAGTGGAGGCGAGGGAGAGGGTGCCCGGGCCTCAGTTCAGGAAGCCTTGAGTTCTAGCCTGGCTCTGCTTATTCTTTGCTTTTTGACACCGGACAGCTCCCATGCCTTTCTGGGCTTCAGTTTTTCCATCCTATCTAATAAAAGAGTATTATGCAAATTGACTGTCACTCCAACACACAAGATGGCTGCCCCCATGTGGTCACAAGATGCCCAGCAGGGGAGGGCAGTTGGGGGAGATCAGGCCTGCAGGGGAGGGCAGTTGGGGGCGACCAGGCCAGCAGGGGGAGGGCAGTTGGGAGCAACCAGGCCTGCATGGGATGGCAGCAAGAGAGGACCAGGCCTGCAGGGGAGGGCAGTTGGGGGGGACCAGGTCAGCAGGGGGAGGGCAGTTTGGGGCAACCAGGTCAGCAGGGGGAGGGCAGTTGGGGGGACCAGGCCTGCATGGGAGGGCAGCAAGAGAGGACCAGGCCAGCAGGGGAGGGCAGTTGGGGGCAATCGGGCCAGCAGGGGAGCAGTTAGGTGTCGATCAGGCTGACAGGGGAGTGGTTAGGGGCTGATCAGGCTGGCAGGCAGGTGAGCGGTTGGGAGCCAGCAGTCCTGAATTGTGAGAGGGATGTCTGACTGCCCATTTAGGCCCGATCCCACACTGGGCAGTCGGACATCCCTAAATGGGCAGTCGGACATTCCTCAAGGGGTCCCAGATTGGAGAGGGTGCAGGCTGGGCTGAGGGACATACCCTCCCCGGCCCCCCCCCACCAGTACACGAATTTTGTGCACCGGGCCTCTAGTCTATAATAATAGTCACATTACCTACTTTTGAAAGATGTTGGAATCCTCAAAGCATCCTTGTGATATAAAAACTATCATTAGTCCCATTTTACAGACGAGGAAACTAACACTCAAGAGTGAAAGAAACCTGTCCTGTGGGACACTTGTTAACATTGATGAATCTATAACAGCACATCACAGTCTCCCAAAGTCCCTAGTTTACGTTATGTTTCACTCTCAGTGTTGTACATTCAATGGGTTTGGACAAATGTGTAACGACATGTATCTGCCATTAGAGTATCATAGAGAGAAGTCTCACTGCCCTATAAATCCTCTGCTTATTCACCCCTCCCTCATTCCTCACTCCTCCTCCCTGCAACCACCAATCTTTTCACTGTCTCATAGTTTTGCCTTTTCCAGAATGTCACATAGTTGGAATCATATAGTATGTAGCCTTTTTACATTGGCTTCTTTTACTTAGTAATATGCATTTAAAAAAACATTTTTTTATTGATTTCAGAGAGGAAGGAAGAGGGAGAGATAGAAACATCAATGATGAGAGAGAATCACTGATTGCCTGTTTCCTGCAAGACCCCACTGGGGATGGAGCCCACAACTGAGGCATGTGCCCTGACGGGGAATCGAACTGTGACCTTCTGGTTCATAGATTGAAGCTCAACCACTGAGCCATTACAGCTGGGCAGTAATATGCATTTAAGGTTCCTCTCTGTCAGTTCATGACTCGATGGCTCATTTCTTTATAGTGCTGAATAATATGCCGTTGCCTGCATGGACCACAGTTTATTTATCCATACACTTATTGAAGGGCATCTTGGCTGCTCTGAGTTTTGACAATTATGAAAAAAGCTCCACAAACATCTGTGTGCAGGCTTTTTGTGTAGACATTTTCAACTTCTTTGAGCAATACCAATTGCTGGGTCGTGTGGTAACATTATCTGGAAGTTTCCATAACATTATGATATCCGGATCCATAGGTACTGTTGTCAGTGGCTCCCATTAGTAGCCATGCCTGCAGGCAGAGGATCAGGTGGGTAGGCAAGCGATTACAGGACCAAAGAGACAAATGTTGACTTTGCCTGCCAGCCTTGGATAGGAACCAAAGAGAATCACTTTGTTCCCTCTCTGGGACCAAAGGGGAGGCCTTGCTCCTTTTGCTTGCAATGCCTTACCCGCCCTTCTCTCCTCATCATCCTTTCAATTTCAGCTCAATTGGCACCTTCTCCAGGAAGCCTTCCCTGACTGCCCCTTACCTTCGGGCTGGGGCAGAGCCTCTCCTCTGAGTATTTTTCTCAGCACTGTGTGTGTGTGTGTGTGTGTGTGTGTGTGTGTGTCTTTCTATAGGAAGCTGTGGGTGTCTGTGACAGGTGCAGGTCCTGCTTCCTCTCTCCCAACCCCTTCCACAGGTGTGGCACATCGTAGGAACACAATTCCTGCTGCACTGGGTTGGACAGGTACTGCTTCAGTCACTCCTAAACTGCTCAGGGCACAGCCTGACTTAGCTAGATATTTAACCACATTTATACTTTTTAAAAATGCATTTTTTCCTTGCTTAAACATTAACACAGAAATGCATCACCCCACAAACAAACTTTTGTCAAATTTCAGTATCCCTTTTCAATGTTTCCCCCCAGTTTCAGTTGTTTGCATTATTGTGATTCACCCAGCTATAAAACACAGTATTTCCAAATTTTTTTTAAAAAAGTGTTCAGGAATAGACTGTTGAGCCCTAGCCAGTTTGGCTCAGTGGATAGAATGTTGGCTGGTGGCCAGGTTTGATTCTGATCAAGGGCACATACCTCTGTTGCAAGCTTGATCCCCAGCCCTGGTCGGGGGCCATTCTCGGGGCCCTATCAGGAGGCAACCAATCGATGTGTCTCTCTCACATAGATGTTTCTCTCTGTCTCTCCCCCTCCCTTCCACCTGCTCTAAAAACAATCAATGGAAAAACATCCTCGGGTGAGGATCAACAAATAAAGAAACAAAAAATAGACAATTGAGTTGATGTAACACCTGACTTCTCTAACATGGGCCTGTGGCGTTTCCAGTGTGATGACATTTATTTTATACTCATTCAAAGAGCAAATATTTAAAATAAGTGTTGATTTTCTTGCAAATATTTGGTGAAATGTATACACACTCTCATAATAGTATAAATAGAAAGATCCGGTTTGGTAAATAATTCTGTGATGAGTTCCTGAGGTCATAAAGTGTTCCAAGGCATTGAGTTCATAAATCTGATCCTGAGATTGTACTGAAGGATTGTGCAAACATTGGGAAGATCCAGCATTTATATAACTGAATGAAGCCTTCAAAAGAGCCGGCACTAGAGTTTGGTGCTCTGCTTCCTAGATGACTTGGGGTCCACACAGGTTTTGCCTTCTTTCTTCCCATATATTCTCTATGGCAGATGTCCCCTCAACCCCTCAGGGTCCTCCTCTTCCCTGAAGCCTCCTTCATGGGGTGCCACCACCTCCAAGAAGCCCTCAACCCTCTTGGAGGCTGGGTTGAGTGGGTGAGGAGATAGTCTGGGCAGTGCCAGGCTCACAACGGGGGATGCTTCCTCGCTTCTTCACCTTGTCCCCTTTCCCCTTTATGGGCCCATCCGTCCCTGGTGGGGCTGAGTGGCCTTGGCCGCACCTAAGCTACATCCTGGCTTTACTAATCTAGGAGCCTTGCATTGGGTCCATCTGTCTCAAATGTCAAGTATCTGGCCCTAGTTAACAGAAAATAATGACTGGTCATCTATACACCCTCAATCCCGGGATGCTAGCATTTTCCTGTTCACCCACCCACTCAGCTGTTCTGAAAATGGTGTTACCGTCCAGAAAAGCTTCACCCATCCATTCACCCCATATGGGTGGTGCCTGTACTGCATCTGGTTCTTCTCTAGGCTCTGGGGCTGCTGAGCAGAGGATGATCTCTGCCCTCAAGGATATCACAGGCCAGTGGTTCTCAACCTTCTGGCCCTTTAAATACAGTTCCTCATGTTGTGACCCAACCATAAAATTATTTTCGTTGCTACTTCATAACTGTAATGTTGCTACTGTGATGAATCGTAATGTAAATATCTGATATGCAGGATGGTCTTAGGCGACCCCTGTGAAAGGGTCGTTCGACCGCCAAAGGGGTCGCGACCCACAGGTTGAGAACCGCTGTCACAGGCTCATGGGGCAGACAGTTGAATTGAGTAAGAAGGTGAGAACCATGGCAATGAGAACTAACGCGTCCTGAACACCCTCTCTGAACTGGACAGTGATGACCAGGGAACTTGGTTGGACCTGTAAGTTGGGAAGCACAGTGTCTTTTTTAGGGAGCATTGAGGGGAGGCCCCCACTTGCCTGAGCAGAGTCTTGCAGCTGAGGAGAATTTAGCCAGGGGAGCTGGGGAAGGAAAGGTGCCCAGGTGGATGGAACAGCGTGGACAAAGGCTTGCCACTGACTCAGATTGGTTGCTGCCCAGTCAAATGGGGATAAGAAGGGTGTTTTGGTATAAGGTGTGGTGAGGAATTCATGAGGTCCCCTGTGTGGTGGTCGTAGCATACGCAATGATACTGTCTCAACCACGGCCAGGCGCAGCCTGGGGACAGCTGAGTTCTGGGGCATGAATGGAGGGGCCTTGGGTGGAGAGAGGAGCTGGACTCCATGGGACAATGGAACACCACTGGAGCCCTGGCCTCACCAGGCAGGCAGGGCTTTTGTGCAGCTTGCCAGGTGGGCTCACAGGCTCTCAGGGGTGGCAATAGGAGAGATGGGTGAGCTCTGGGGGCTGGAGACCTTGGGCGCTCTCAGGCACTGCTTGAAGAGATCTCGGCTCCAGTGGAGCCCTC